GTATCTAATGCAAACTTCAATTGAAATAAAGTTACATCAATCATTGATGCCATAATTTTAATTTTTTAAAATAATACAATAAGGTTTTCTTAGTTACCACGATGTTGTGGCCAAGATTCATCATCACAGCTTTTCCTGGATGATAACTCAATCGAAGATCCTCGGGTTGGTTAACTAATTCAATCTTTTTATCATCTATAGCCACAGGTGATTGTGAGTGCCCTGTTTTACATGTCTCCCAATCCTTCCTAATATCACCCCAATGGTCCGGCCCATTCCAGGCCCCTATCTTATAGCTAAACTCTTCATGCTCTGCATTTTAGGACCTCGTTATAGTATCAAATATCATAAAAAAGATGAAATAAAATCTTCAAACAAAAAGATATGCAAACACTATGTATTCAATAGTAGTTCATATACCATAGGCCATTGCACAATGTTTGATATAGAGAAAATCCACTATAGAGATGATGAGGATAAGTTGCCTAAAAGGCTCCATTATAGATTTCATTGGCAACCAGAAAGTATGAGAAAACGTATATGAGAACGAAATTTATGGCTCTGTATTTCCCATCCAAAGTCAAAGTAAACAAGCATTAAAATATTGTTAGAGACAGCCATACATCTATTTACTTAATTTTGTTTTATTGATAACTTTTTTAAAAATCTGTCAAAAAAGACATTTTTTTCTTGTTCTAATTCATTCATGAGGCAGCCTTTCAATACATGGTAATTCTTTTTTATTACTGTTGTTTCAGACAGATTAATAATGTTCTATTTATAGAACATATTCTGAGAGATGTTTTCTAAATAGTTGTATTCAAGATAATATTTAATATTATATAACTGTAATAAAAATATCGTTATCTCCTAGAGCTCCCATAGTGGAGATTAACACACATAAAACTCAAATATTTAACATCATATAAAAATATCATTATTATTTTAACAAACATAATACTAAAATCTTGAACATCATATAAAAAAATATCACTCTTACTAATTTCTCAAGGGGTCCGTTCCATACTTAACACAACATTTCTCTTTCTTTACATATCTAAAACTTAAACTCTACTTTTTATATAAGAATATCATTTTTATACATTTTTTAAAAGTGAAATAAATGTAAAAATTAATCGGTCTATATGTATGTTAATCTTTCTTTAAAAGAGTGAAATACATACTTTTTATATAGCAATTTGTTAACACCAAAGTGTTAAAAATGAAAATATTGAATATATCTGTGTACAGGTTTAACTCATGTGACTTCCAACCGACAAATGATTTAAAGTTTGCCAAGCTTGGAAGCCATATTCTGAATTTATTATAGTCGAGAAAGATAATCTCATGACAATTGGCAGCTGTTATATTAAAAGCTTGGTCAATAAGAAATTGGTAATAATAAATTAATGTCCAATGTATTTCATAATTTATTTTATTAAAATTTTCCTTAATAAGGAATTGGTAATAATAAATTAAAGTCCAAAAAATAATAAATTTTATGTTAAAAAGCATCCCCAACTTTTGATGAGAGCACAATTTATTTCTTGAATGAGAGCACAATTTGATGATTTCAAAATTACCAATAATCTTCTTGATCTAGGCTTGAAATCAATGTTGTGAGCTTTTAAATTTATTTTTATTTAAGAAGTAAAATAAGAAGATAAACTTTTAGCTAAATAATCAGAGCAAGCTTAGAAATAATGCATCACTTGCATATTTTCCTTTCGAGTCTTCATATTTAATTTTGAGGAATTTGAAGAATAAATTTTTTATTATCAACCTTATTGAATGTATCTTTTTCAAAATATATATTGAACAATCATTCATTTAAGAGTTTAGAATATAACTACATAATAAATATTTACAATATTTGTTATAGATAATGCTCACTAAAGTTATATTATAACAATTGATTATATCATAGCAAGCTTAGAAATGAGTACACCAAATGATTAAAAAATTTATTCTTTGTCTAGTAAGCTTTTTTGAAAGCCCTACTTTCAGCTTAATTAATGCATCAATTGATATTATGTTAATGATAACTATTTCACGTTAACAATTTAATAGAATTATATTTATATTCGAGAAATTTAAAGAATAAAATGTAGCAGGACCGATCAATTATTTTCTTATAAAAAAGTAAAAATAAATCACATAGACTTAAGGCGATTTCAGATAAAAGGAACTCAAAAATTATTTTATTTAATTTACTATTTAGCCCTTAAAATTGTATATCTATAATAAAATAAAATAATATGATAATATAGAAGTCTCTTTTAGTCAACCAAGATCCAATTGAGTTTATAGTCTCATTTCTTAGCTTCGGGCCCCTTCTTAGTATATGTAGGTGGCTTCACGACCTTAGTTTGGCTAATCAAATTTCCCTTGTTTAGTTCCAAGTGAATTGTTATTGAAGTTTATTTCATTTTTTGTAGTTGGGAGTTTAATAACAAATTCAATTTGAAGCTTGAAGAATCCAAATGCAACCCAAGTGAATATATATTCAGCTTGGTTATCTACTATTAGCACATAAAGAGTTTAAAAGCAATCACATCACTTGCATATTTTCCTTTCAAGTCTTCAAATTTTAAAACTACTATATAAATTTTTTATTATCAACACTATTGAATGTTTCTTTTTAAAATATTTATTGAGCAATAATTCATTTATAAGTCTAGAATATTACTACACAATAACTCTTTACAATCTTTGTAACAGAGAATGCTCATTAAAGTAATATTATAACAATTGAATTTATCAGATCAAGCTTAAAAATGGGTACACCAAGTGATAAATAAATTTATTCTTTATATCCGGTAAACTTTTGTGAAAGCCATCCAATCACTTATTATTATTAACCAATCTAGTATAACATGGTGTGGACACTTTCTCTGTAGTTCTTTAAATTGTTCTCAAGCTTCATAAATAGCTTCTCCTTCAAACTGACAAAAAGATGTAATATCATTTCTAAACTTCACCATTTTTTATGGTGAAAAAAATTTAACAAGGAATTTTTGTTCTAAATCACCCCAAGTTTTGATAGATCCATGTGCTAACGAGTGTAACCATATATTAGTCTTATCCCTCAGTGAGAAAGGAAAAATTTTAAGTCTTATTTCATCATCTGATACACCATTATATTTAAATGTAGCACACAATTCTAGAAAATTGGCAAGATATAAATTGGATCTTTAGTTGGTGCTCCCCCAAACTGATTATTTGATACCATTTGGATAATAACTGGATTAAGTTCAAATGAATTAGCAACTACAACAAGTTTTTGGATACTAGAATGAAGTTCATTCACCGTAGGGTTTGCATAATATCTTAAAGGTTTAAACACTTCGTTAATTTTAGCATTTTGATAATTTTGATTTGTCATTTCTTGAAATTTTTTATTTTTTCAGTAATTTTAAGTTTTTAAATTTTTTGAATAGTTTATTTTAATTCAGAATTGTAGGGCCTAGTCTTGTAGAACTTGAACTACGCATATATTACTACGAAACACATAAACAAAAACCTTATATAAAAACAACACTACAATATTCCTATAATAAACCTAAAATTTTAAATAAGACTTTATCAAAATAGAAATTTGCTTTCTAAAAATTTTAACAGAAACATTTTTATTTTTCTCCCCAGCAAAGGTGCCAAAAACATGATTCCAACTTTTTATATGTTAATGCAATGTATGTGAATATTTTCTTATTTGTCTTACTTATAATTCTTTCTTTGCAACGACACTAAAAACTTGATCACCAGCAACAGCTAGGTAAAAACTTGACTTCAAAGTAAAAAAGAATAAAATTATTATATTTAAATATAGGATACACAAGTATATCATTATCAAGTTAATATAGGACTTTTTGATTAAGCCCTGAATATCACACCCACAGGGAGAACTACAATATGCAAATACAAATAAGAAGAAATTAGATAACAAATCTTACTTAGCAAAACATTCTTAATTAAACTTTAGATTCTATAATAGGAATGAAAGTTCGATTCTTGTTGTAATTTTTATAAATAACTAAATAAACTTAATTAGAAACTTGTTAAATGAAGGCAATATAAGTAAAATATCTTTTTCCTTATCATGAATCAGTAATAAGTATAGGAAATCTATTGTAGAAGTATTCAAATTGTGTTGTGCCAAATAAGAGCAATAATATTCGTTACCTTTATAAGAGATCCTATAATGAAAATTTGTTTATTTAAAGTTTGAATAGTCTTGAAGACGGGTTAGGTAGGGAAGATATTATCTCTCACTCTAGAGTTCCATCTTCTCCCTTCACCTAGGGGTTAACATCTCATATCAAAACCTAAACTATAAATCAGATTGAGGGCTTTAGCCTGTCACTCTAAAGTCCTCTAATTCTACACTTTTAAAAAGTTTATTTCCCTATTTATTTACACTCAATCTCATGAACTACATTCTCATTAATGAAATCAGACCATTTGTTGACTGAGACAATACCATCTTAAACTTTAGATATTCTAACAACATGTATTAACATCTTAATTGGCCAAATCAAGAAGTAAATGAAGTACAAGGTTTAAAATCATCACAGCTTCTTCCAACATTAAAGATTAATAATTCACAAAACTTCCATCCAATACTTAATCGCTTATCATTTTAAGGAAAAAGATAAATAAAACTACTTACAATTCATGAGAGAAAATAAAACCACACTTAAGTTTGAAAGTAGAAATCATGCAATCAAACAAGAAGTCCAAATTAAAACCAAATTGAGTCATAAAGATAAAAACTTATCTCAAATCCTCTCCGTCAAATTCTTGAAGTTTCTTTGATTCTCTTCCTTCACTTACAATAAAAACTACAACCTAAAATAAAAAAGAAAAGTGGGCGACATCGGTCTTCAAGTTAGAAATTGTTGACCGCCGACATCTCGAAACCAAATTTTAAAAGAGGTTTAATTTAATTTATATATATA